ACATCTATGTCTAGTAGCTCCTTTAGCGGAATGTGTTCACATTGTACACAATATTTCTAGATGTTCTTTGATGTTAAAGAATATTATGTAGAAATTATCACTTACTGAGACATGTCACTAACAGTAAAGATAATAGAAGGTAGTTTACCAAAAAAAAATCGAAAAAATTAGATTATTTTTTCTGTAATTTAAAAAGTCCATGATTGCTTAATGGGAAACCCGAATGTTCATAGTTTTGTGTGATTTAGATATTATAGTTTACTAATTTTCTCTGCATGTTACTATCTGCATAGTAAGATAATCTGAAGTGCTCTGATCCAGTGTGGACCATTTGCTGCATGTTTTTCTTCTGCTAACCGCCTGCTTTATCTCCATTCAAGGCTCAAAAAGCAAGTTAAATTTTGCTTTCAACAATCATAAGTTCAGTAGGTTCCACTAGAATTGGTTGTTAAGCTTAGGACTGATTAAGTATCGTATCAGAATCATCCTTGGAGAGATAGGATGATTTGCATCATAGATAGAAGAGCTAGAATTTCCAGATAACCTCCAACCACCTACAAATGATATAGATCATTCCATTCAATAGGGGTACTCTAATAGAATATGCACTGACCTTATTAAGGCCACAACCAAACCAGTTTAGCGGCCCAAAGCCCAGCCAAGAACAAATCTATCGACCAGCCGAGCAAACGAGTCATCTCTACCGACACGAAGTGCAGGATCAGTCGACCCCTCATGATCGAGACGACTCCTCAAGAGTCCACCCGCCCTATGATCGAGATGACTCCTCAAATAGTCGGCTCGACTATCTGCTCGGCAGTCTACTCGGCCAGAAGCTCACTCGACTGTATGGTCAGCAAATCATAGGGACGATTCAAAAACCGACCCGTCTCTACTGAGGGAATAAGATCCAACTAAGCTCTCTTCAGATATACATCAATCGACACTACAGTATTGATCGGTCCTATCAAGATCTCAACTCTGACAAATCTCGTGCGTAAACAGTTTACTCTGCTCACAAGTCACTTCCCAGAGATTACTAAGATATTTTCTCCTGTGCTCGAATGACTTCCCGCCCAGTCACCAGCCGACATCTGTAAAGCGGAGAATGACTCAGCAGCCTGTCTAATCATCCCACAACCGTCCTCATGTGCATAGTCAGAGCCAAAGGTCAGCATCTCAAAGGCGATGGACTATAAAAGGAGGGAAGGTAAGAAAAAACAAGGAGGTTCTTCTTCTTCTTCATTAAACTCTGGGGATCATTTCTCCCTCTTGATATACTTTTACTAAAAAGAGAATTAATGACTCTAAAAGAGTACCCTCTTACAAGAACCTCAATGGTCCCGGGACTCTCCCTCAAACCCCACTCAAGCTCACCAGCGGACTTGACCGCCGGAGGCGGGGAAACAAGTTCCGCCCTCTTATGGGTTCGTTCTTCTTGTTTATGCAGAAGAATCAGGAATACCAGTCCAAAGATCGAACATAAAGTCGGAGGAGTCAGCCCCATCTCTCATCTTCTCCCTCTTCGTCGTCAGCGCGAAGATCTGAACTGCATCCATCAGCGGAAAGCTCTCATCGACTGTATGATCTCGGACATCAACAATATATATATATATATATATATATATATATATATATATATAGAGAGAGAGAGAGCCATCTCTCATCTTCTCCCTCTTCGTCGTCAGCGCGAAGATCTGAACTGCATCCATCAGCGGAAAGCTCTCATCGACTGTATGATCTCGGACATCAACAATATATATATATATATATATA